AGAATTGGTAATAGGAATTATAATGAGGAGTAGTATTAATCTAAAATATTCACTTAATCTCACACTATTTTCCATTGTTAAAAATAGATATGGCTGCTCATTCGTAGGTTTTTTTCGACTATCCGATTTTTGTGAATTCAAATATTTTTGTGTTGCTTTATCAGCTTGTTCTCTTCATAGGAACGATGCAGCCACTCATGTTCACGAAATTCTTGCTTATCATGAGACTATTGAATATGTTCGAGAGTATGTTGATAGTCATCCCAATACAGTTATGATATCTGTAAGTGAAAACTATTCGGCATGCCTATAATTAACTTCTGAATGTAATGTAATTCATTTTTAATAACCTTTCCCATAGACTAGCGACCACGAAACGGGTGGTTTGTCTTTAAGTCGGCAAAATCATCTCACAGAATACCCAGATTATCTATGGTAAGTTACGCGGAGCGAAGTTTAAAAAAAAAGGATTTATGTTAATAGCTCTTTCTTTCTCGGTGCGTGTCTTGTTTTAGGTATCCTGAAGTGATCAAAAGGGTAAACACTTCCTCGTACCTCCTCGCGAAAAAAATAAACGGGTACAACAAAGAAGATAAAATTGATTTTATCAAAAAATCGTTCCGAGATGAATTGGGAATCGACGATTTCTCAGATGACGATGTTGAATATTTGAACAAACCTGAAGAATTTAATATGGCGCATGAATATTATTTAGCTAATATGACTAGCGCTCGGGCGTTGGTTGGGGTATATATTTATATTGTCATTTCTGTGTTTTTGGGTGGATGAAATTCTGAACTATTGTTAAATTAGTGGACTACGCATGGACATACAGCGGTTGATGTAAACTTATATGCTTATGGAATGAATTCTGAGAATCTCATCGGTAATCATGAGGTAAATGTTTCCTTCATCTTTTTTCTAATTTGTACAAATATAAATCAAATCACACTTAATATTTTATACTTTATGATGCTCTTAGAATACCGACATCGGAGACTTCATAGTCGATTTTCTTGGACTAGATTTACAGAGTATCACAACATTATTGAACAAGTAAGTGAAAAAAAAAATTCACTAATTTTCCAATTAAAATATTTCATTATAAAATATCGACTAACTATTCATCACCTTAAAAATAGGGGTAACTCATCGTTTCATCTTAACAACCACGAGGACATTTCTCGATTTAATATTGATCATTTAGCTCATTACCATCACGGACATCGCCTCTAATTGTCGGCGAATTAGAGTTATGTCAATCGTGGCGGAAAAGAAAGCTCATAAAAAGCAAAATTCAAAAAATCGGTCTCTTCTCATTTATCATTAATTTATTTATTTAGTTAATTAAACGCAGTCATTCATTTTTTTACAATAAATATACACATTTTTTTTTGGAATATGCTGTGTGGTCGTCGTTCACTCCGTGCAACCTACGTTGGTTTTATGAGAGTGTGTGTAATGTGCTACTTGATTGTTCATCGAAAAGATCAAAAAAAAAATTTATTTTTATCATTCGACTTTATTCTTTCCCTCCTTTTCCATTCCTAAAAATTCTTTCAAACTAGACACTACCAATTCATGGTCCTCATTATTTCCAGTTAATCGACTCGCGGCAATAGATCCCACCACGCCAATACCTTTAACCATCAATGGAAACGCGCCACCCGTGTACTCTTTTAACAGGCCACTCTCATCAAAGGATAATGATGTTGCTGCTGCTATTTGTGTCGTCGTCGACGATAATGATGCAATATTCGATATAGTCGTAATACCATTATTTCCTTGACTCTTAAATAACTGTCCCACGTAATACGAAGAATGACAAAATCGTTCAACAATACTTGCTTTTCGTCGCACCGCTTCAGTATCTATCGGTGCCGTGCCTGGCATAGCATAGTGAAATAACAGCTGATTGTTTAACGTGATTGAAATTACTACAGGATGCAATGGTGTTTTAATGTTTGCGTTTTTTATTAGGAGCAGGCCAAGGTCTAATGCTAGTGTTGAATCAAAGGTCAAAAACTGGAGGTCTTGTTCCTGTTGTAGGAGTGTTGCGAGAAGTGTGGGTGTGGTGGTGTCTATCGACATTTTTTTATTCGAGAATCTTGGGGAGTATATATGTTTTGTTGTGAAAAATACAATAAAATAATTAAAGAAATAACAAACTTAAAATGGTAACGATCGAGTTCAATTCAAATTAATCCTTCAATAACGCAAACTTAACATACTATACGTAGCCGTTCTGCATGCAACAAATATATCGATAATAATAATTTAATGATGAATGATAATATAATGGATAGTGAAATAATAATGCGATAAATATACTAGCAATAATTTTTGAAAGGTATATAGAGATGATACAGTGAGTTTACAAGGTTACACAATGAGGATTATGACGTTGCGTCGGGATGAGTTTGCGTAAAGTATTGCGTAGTAAAGTTTGGCGATGTTGTTGGTACCTAACATTAAATAAATAAGATAAATAAATCATACCCATACAAATATTATATATAATCACC